ATATCACCCCCATCCGCTGATGACATTTGTTTACTTTGTGCGAGCGACAGTAATTTTCACTATACGTACTCGACCCATGATCAATATTCACAGCCTATCCTAACTGTCTCCCTCTCCCAGCGCACTGACATCTACATGCCGAGCTCGTCATATGGGCGGCGTGAAAATGATTAGTTGTAATCATAAAGCACTTATCAACCCTGTTAGTTTGTACTATTTTTATTATCCATGCAATTGGACCAGCCCGATGATGAATCGCCGTAAACACACGTTTGTCAAATAGACATTTCGGGATAAACATAGGAATATTTGAAGTAAAATTGACCGACAATATCCGCTTCCCTTGGTCTTCAGATATTTCCAGGAGGTTAGCTGTTTTCCAGGGCATCCTGTTAATTGCCTAGAAGATCCTATTTAATATTTTCTTTGTTGAAATTTATCTGAATCAACTAGCCTTGTCAAAAAATACCACCTGAAATTTTAAAATGAAAAACATATTTCTCCCTAGGTGATCATCCCCGGAGTTATGCTTTCGGTTGGACCCTCTTAAACTACATCTGGACGGGTCGTGAGTGGCCAGTGACGCTACTGTTCCCACGGGTGGCCTACTGTCGGGTACCCAATATACGAGCAGTGGGTGGAGACAACGCCTACACCGCTCAGTGCGCCCTCCCCATCAACATGCTCAACGAGAAGCTTTACATCTTCCTCTGGTTCTGGATCTTTTTCCTGCTAACCATCACCTGTGGAAGTCTCCTACTTTGGTTGCTTCGCATTGCCAGTCCCTTCCATCGCAGACGGTTTGTCTGGCGCTACCTTCGCTCGCACACGCTCCAGTTTCCGAAGGGGGTTCTTCAAGTCAATGCACTGAAAGACTTTGTAGATGTCTATCTCGGGCGGGATGGAGTCTTCCTTGTACGTATGATCGCCATCAATGCAGGCCAGATCGTGGCTTCTGAGCTGGTCACTACACTGTGGAAGAATTACTTCGACCTCATGACAATGCAGATGCCACCGTTTCCGAGCTTCGAGGAGACGACTGAAGTAGTCACAAGCTTCCAGGAGGCGATGACTGACATCGGATACGTCTAGAATGAGTGCGCGGGGTCCACAACTGCGCAAACACGTCGACGTCTGTATGAGCCTGCTTCAAATCAAATGGGTTCATAGCAGGAGTCTGCCAACTATACTATTAGTGGCAACTCCTCTACGAAAGCCTTCTCCTCACGTGTAGACAAGTGTGTGCATATTGAGTGTGTGAATAAAATCCTGACAAAGCCACAAGACTCGCCTTTTTAAAAAAAGAAAAAAGGATACTCCATCAGACAAACTTCGTAAGCCTGTGAAGGGGAGATTTTTGTAGAGCATCAGCCATGATCGGAGGTTTGACAAAAATACAGACGAGGTAAGACTATGGACTTAATTCTAGGTCAAATTGGCAGCTGAACAGAATCGATTATGACAATAAATATGGGGTGTCTACCATTAAAAAATCAATTAGCCATACAAACGGGAGAGAGATAGGATAAGACACATTTCCCGGACTGTTTCAGGTTTGAACATACACCGAATTCCAGCGCCCCGACATAATAAAGAGACTGCCAAGTGGGTAATATTGCGGGTTAAGGTGATAGGTAAAGTTAATCTAATAAGTACCACACTCACTACTGCGATCTTCAGGCCTAGTTCCGTGTGAGGAGAGAAGAAGGTGGTAGGAAAATCGAATTCTGCACAGAGAGAGTGGTGAATAGGTTGGATGAAGTTGATTCTCGAGTGTGCATGCGTCTGCACCCAAGAGGGTAAGTTCCGAAGTGTATGAGCCTGGCAGTCATTTCCGTAAGGTTCTGTGTGAGTCAGCCAGGGCGGGCCGGATCAGCACAAGCAGACTAGCACATGCGCACCTGCTAGTAGCCGCAAAAGGTTGAGCGTTGCCGCAGCTTGCGGCACCTCTGGTTGGCTACCCCAGACGCGGGCCAGAATATGCAGTCACGTGACCTTAAGCGTAACTTGGCGCCGAAAATGGAGAGCGTTACAGGGTCACTATAGGTGCAGACTTATGCTTGTCCGACTATGAACTTCCTCCACCCTATTCTCCTCTACCTCTGTGCAGAATACACTATTCATTCCACCTGGCGTCTCGCTTCCCTTCTCACACAGAACAGGGCCTGAATATCGCAGCGGCGAGGCTTTTACTCATAACTTAACCCACTGCGATAGGAGAACCCAGTTACATCTTCGAATAAGGCTAACATCTAACCTGCGTAAGTGTCAATATCCCCTGACCTAAACCTGCTAGACAACGAGCTCGTGACACAATGGTTGGGGCGCTTGACTCTGATCAAAAAGGTCGCGAGTTCGAGGCTCGGGTGGGACACCACTTGTTTCTGGGTATGACTGGCTGACGACGGCTAATAAGCCAGAAATTTCTATTCCATTCTCCCTTGTCTTTGTCGGCAATACTATCTGCCAGTACTAGGTGCCATTAAGTACTCGACCCTCGCTTGGACCAGAAGCCAATACTAGATCAACTTTAGGGAGAAAAGGATTCCCTTTCAACTAGTTCAGACCATTGCTGGAGAAGGGTCTCACCCCTAAATGTTGAAATTATCAGCTATTCGAAGGGATCACAGAAATACGAAACTAGGTGAATGAAAGCAAGGGCTTCTGCAGCATATAGCCTTCATCCCTGCTGGCGGTGGTGTATTAATATAGCGGGTCATCGGCAAGTTGCAGAACAGTTGAATACATTGAATCTAATGAAGATTAATCAGATCAAGTCTCCATGTAGGCTTGTAGTGCGAGTTCGAACATCGAAATCTATGATGTCCACCACATACCCAAGAGCAGGGATGGTGACTGTACTCAGATATAGTGAAAATAGGCAAGCAGCCATCTACCACACTCTAAACCCTCTCCGCGCGTGAACAGGTGACAGGAATCGGACGAAAACCGCTTTCTCCAATACAACCCAGAAACACCGTCTAACTTAGTCTTAAGTGACTGTAGCCCTTTGCGTTGGTACTACTGCAGTATCTACTCTCACTCACCTACACTAGATGTCCAGAAGGACTCAAGGAGACCGAGTCTCGTATTTCTACTACTGCTATTACTATTTATACTGCTGCTTACTAGCATCAGGACGACGGTTGTAGTGCTGGTACTACTATTGACGCTACTATGTGGTCATAAATTACACTGATTAGAGTCAGGCCTGGGCCCATGTCCCCTCGATCTCAACTAGGAGTGGGGACCTGGATTTTTGCTATTCCGAGTAGAGTAGATGTTTGAGGCTCGGAGCACATCAATGCTGGCCCTGTTTAAGTCTTGTAATAGGACCCACATGAAGGACAGTGGATTCGGGGAAAATGTGCTACTCCAAGTCTGGGCAGGCCAGAAATCAGCCCTTTAGAGTAAACTTACCCTTCCCAGAAACGAGCTAGACATGGGTTCCTCTAGAATTGTGCAATTTATGAGCTCCAAATGGGCTAAATTAGACATGAGGCCGCCAAGTACAAGGTACCGAATGTACCGAAGGAATTCAGGCAGACCAAAAAGCATGAATAACACATTCTATTTTAAAAAAACAATATACACAGGGGCATGTATGTACATAGGGGAGGATTGCGATGGGGCAGCCAAGGATACTGCAACCATGGTGGCAAAGCGTTGGACTAGGCGAAGGCTACTTAGTTTCAGCCCTCCTCCTCATCAGAGTCAGCAACCAAAAGAGTGACATTACTAGGTGGTTTCCGACCGGGTACAGTTCTATCGCCGCAATTATTGACGCCCCAGCCAGACAGGGCAGCACGATTAGGGGTGACCATATTAGCTAGAGGCTGACGCTTAATTTCGAAGTCTTCTTTCCCAACCATAGGAACGTCCTCAGCCTCGGCCTCATCTGCGCTGTCGAAAGCAGTCAACAATTCAGGTGCAGCTGCCGGCGGTGCATTCTCAAATAAGGTATTATCCAGACGTGAGAATAATACCGAACGTGCCTGAAAGCAAACGCAAAAAGCCATGTATTTAACATTGTTATTGAAAACAAATAAGTAGCACTATTTGGTATTCGTATAACTGCGTCACTACACTGAACATTCACAGACCAAACGCGTCTACTTAGGCGAATGATCACACACTTGGTCTGTCCACTGTTAAAAAACGAAGTTCAATGGCAGACTAATGGAAATAGGTACAACGAACAGTTCTAGTATAGGTGCTAATGACAGAGGAAATCAGTGGCTTATAAGCGGGTTTACTAGTTGCCAGAATATGTCCCCAAAGGTATTTTGATCGTCAAAATTACGGACATCAATTGTCTGGCATCTTGGTGTCCCACCATCTTCTGTTAGTCTTCAGACAACTTCAAGGGTAAGTAGTTCCAAAAGTTAAAGATAATCAGGAAGGGGCTAAGAAAGTGTTGTGCATTCGCTGCTAAAGAGGGCAGACCTAATGGTGGTCCTGCCTAAGGCTGGACAAGATGTTCACGTGTAATGTTGCCAGTATGGCAAATTACAATATCAATTTATATTACTGTCTGCCCGTCGGCAGCATTTGTGATGGAGTTCGGCCCAAATAAATATACATCGGCTTTTGGTCTATGCCTATAGACCTTGAACATACTACTCTCTACCGAGAACAGAAATTAATCATGACTTTCTGGCCCAGTAATTTCGGATTCCAGCGTGCTAGTTTCGGCACACAAATAAAGATGCTGGCCTGCAGAACTGGGGTAAGAGCAATTACGGGCTAGTCAAATAACGATGACCAGGGTGGGGGAAAAAACTAATTATTTGGTGATAAGAGAGGTGGCCAGCTAGTCAGATATGCTGTTTTTTAAGTCCACTGTTTTCTGTGATAGTCCGTTTCCACCTCCCTCCCCTGCAGCTCTCTCCTCTCACCACAGTTTGTCAGGCCATGGGAATTACGTGTAAAAGGCAGTTGGGGTAAAATGTGCTCGGAATTAACGGAAACCTCTTAAACAAAATTCCGATTACGAGTTTGGCCCCCAGAACACGTAATTTGAAGCAATCTACACCAAGACCTCCATTACATGCATAATGTTTCCAACACCGTTAGTATCCCCTCCCTCTGTATGAAGATCGAA